GTTCTTAGCTGAATTTAGATTAAATTATTTGTGAAATTAGTCAAATGATCTGAAATCAATAAAAACAGGTGTTTAACCAGAAAATGTCTCTCCTGTGGTTTTTGTGTCTTGTGAGGGCAGACTAATGTCACCTGGACGCTCCACCTGCCTGTTTGTGTAGCCAACCAGCACCGGTGCTAACCAGTCCTTCAGGGGCGGTCCAGCATCTTTTAGATGTTTCCTGCTTCAGTGCTTTAGTGGTTTCTCTGCTCCAACACTTCCGATTCAGTGGTTGAGTCACCTGCAGCAGCTCATCAGGAGCTGCAGAAGCCTGTTAATCACCTGCTGGTTGAAATCAGGTGTTTTGAAGCAGGTTAGAACTAAAACCTGGTGGACCGGCCCTCCAGGACCAGGATTGGGCACCTCTGTTCCAGAGACATGAACCAGACTAATCCACAAAGTACCATGGGTTCGTCTGCTTTTATTTGTAAAAGCAACACAGTAAAATTGTCATGTGGGTTGTTAAAGCAAGCTTCGTTGACACGCTCCTTTTATGCTCTTTACATGCCTCCAAGCCTGAGAGTCTGAGGTAGTGCTGCCACAATTGGTTGATCCGTCCCGATGACGTCGACAGTAAATTCAGCAGTCAGCGTCCCTTATTCTATGAAGCCTTATTTAATCTTGCCTGCAGCAGCCATGCCTGCGACTGCAGTACCACTGCTGTTTTCAGCTCGAGGCACATGCACGGTAGTGTTTGTAATTTAACACTAGCTGACAACAAGCTCCAGAGTTGTGTAAATAATGTCAGAATAGCAGGAGCAACCCAGAAGTCTCCTTAGAGGTGGTGCCTGAGCAGCGCTCGAACCTGCAGCCATCCAGTGGCAAGGCACTTAACCTCTGATTTGATAATGTTACTGTGGCCGTGCTCAGGACGCAGATGTCTGGAGCGCGTCAACGATCAGAGCTTTGCATGCGCAAGCTGGTTAAGGTAAGGATGGGGGTGAGGGGAAGGTTAAATTGCAAGAGGGTAAACGTCACAATTTGGTTAAATGTCCGTTTTACGGCGGGTGTCAGTACCGACGCTCTGGCACAGCGCGTTGCCTCCCGACGCGCAGGAGCTTGTCACCTGCTGACAGCAGGCTGCTGTCTTTTCCGAGGACTGCATCTTGCCGGTCATTATCACGTGACAGCGACTAGTCGATGACAGGCATAAAAAGTCACTATAGAGCGGTGACGTCGACTAGTGACTAGTTCATACAACCCCTGCTACTGCTCCCCAGAGTGTTCTGCAGCGCACGTTCTCTTTGAACTTGATATCAAATTTTCGCCTCCTCTTCGTCTCCGCACAGTTAAAGTTACCCTCGCGGTCTATCACTGGCAAAACAAAAGTGAGACGATGACACAACCGCCCCCCGTACTTGCTTGTTACCACATTCCACCCGACCACAATAAAAAAAACGGCCATTATTCACCTCCGCCGACTCTGACACCGGCCAAAATGTGATACCCGGCCGTTAATTGAATACAGGCCAATATTAGAGGATTTACGGTATATCAAACAAGTCTACTGGAAAATGATCTACTCGCATAACTTTAGAAGAAGAAGAAGAAGAAGAAGAAGATGAAGAAGAAGAAAGTATCATTTCTATAGCGCCTCTCAAGATAAAAATCACGAGGCGTTTCACAAAAGCAAAGAATGTAAAAATAAAAAAAGCATTTAGAAAATGTTTAAAAATATATTTAAAATGAGCAAAAAATAGGCAATTGTGATAAAAAAAATTTTAAGAAAGAGAGAGAGTGAACAGGAAAGAGGGAAATCAAGCCCACATTCCTCCTCTATATGGAATAACAGATTTGTTTTGTATAAACGGAAATCGATGTATTATAAAAGTTGGATGGACAAAGGGGTTTGGGCCATAGTACAGTTGATGGACAGTAATGGTAAGTTTCTGGAGCATAATAAGTTCAAAATGAAGTATAATCTAGACTGTTCGGTAACGGAACACTAGAGTTAGAAAGGCCTTTTCTCCAGTGTTTGGTCAGATGATCAGTCAAATTATTCAACATGGAGCAAGTACACCTAAGCTTCCTAAATTATTTATAGTTGATTTGTGTTTTACAGACCTTAAATGTAATAACTCTTACCTAAGAGCAGTCTTGTCAAACAAGTTTTTCCCTATTCCTGTCAGAAGGAAAATTCTTTCTCCGATTCTCTCAAATAAAGATACCAAATTCATAAGAACAGATTTTCTTTTTATCCTCTTCTCCCCAAATTGAAGGAAGTCCACTTTAAAACGATTAATAATATATATCCATGTAAAGAATTCTTAAATATCAGATTTAATATACAAGATAATTTATGTGTCTTATGTAATAGTGATATTGAAACTCAGAAACACCTTTTCTATAATTGCAACTCTGTAAATACCTTTTGGTCAGATTTATACAATTTGCTATTATCCAAAAGGAGTTGCAATATCCCCTTATTCACATATAATATTATTCAGTTTGGTTGTATAGAAAAAAATAAACAGATTTAATTCGTTGTTAACAATTTGATAATTTTTTGGGAAATTCTTTATTCACAAATGCAGTTTTATGAAAGTGAAGCCAAGTCTGCCTTTATCCCAAAAATTATTTTATTCGTTTTTGCAATCCCTTTAAAAGGTAAATAATATACAGGCTGTTGAACTTGTCAGTTTTATTGAAGATTTCTTGAACTAAAGTCCTCTGTCTGTTACTTTACCTTATACTTTATTATTTATAAATCTGGTTATTTCTGCTGCTTAGACTTTTTCCAATTGGATTTGATGAAAGTTGTTGGTTGCCTACTGAGTGTTATTGTTTGTTATTAAAGTGTAATGTGATTGATGTTCAATAAAAAAAAGTTATATCCTCACACTCTATGCCGTAAGTCAGTACAAGGTTTAATGTATGATGGCATTAAAACACTCAAAATGTAACTTATTCGAATGTAGGATTGTAAATACATATTTTACGTATATGAATTTGAAAATCTAAATTTGTTCTTTTTCTGTTTCCGCTTCCGAGCGGAACCTTTGAGCTTTGGGATGTGTTTCTACACGGACTCGGTCCCTCTACGCGGCTGCATGTGTCCCGTCTTCCACCGCGGTTCCAGCGTGTGTGAGTTTGTTTGTATAGACTCCGGTAATCATGCCGGGAGGCGGCAGCTGCTTGTTCTCCGGGTTTCGGGTTGTCGGCCTTTACTCGGACCACGTTCCGCATGCGATCCGGTACCACCTGAAGCACCGAGAGTTCTACGTGGTGACGTCAGTCGGACGAAGCTTCCACACGTTTAACGTAAGTTGAGACTTATTGATCCGTTCTGGAGCCTGCTCAGCGGTAGGCTTTTGGCTGCTTTAGCTAACCCGCCTGAGTCCGCGTGTCTGCAGCCTGGCCCGCGGCTGATGGCGCTGCTGGTCCGGCTGGTGAGTTTGGGATGAAGATGAACCTTTGGTGAGCTCCTGGTCCACTCGAGCTTCTTGGTTCAGGCCGACCTTTTCCATACACACAGTTCTGACTCGCACATAAAGCAGCGGCTAGTGTGTTCCCGCTGCCACACACCTGACCTAAATGAATGAGTGATTAACAGGCATCTGCAGCACTTGATGTCCTGACGAGCAGATGTAAATCAGGTGTGCTGAAGCAGAGACATGAAAGCATGCAGGTCAGTGTGGCCTGAGGACCAGGGCTGGGACACACTGATGTGGACATAATCATTAGTGTGGCAGTTCAGTGCTGGCCTGGCCCGCCAGACTCCTCCTCTGTTTAATTCTGCACAGAGAAAGGCTCTGGGAACTCTCCTATTCAATAACCCCGCCCCTGAGAATTCTAACCGAGCCAATCAGCGCTGAGCAGCATGCAGTGTCATAAACATGGCGACTGAAGCGGAGCTCGCTGCGGCTCTTTCGTCTGTTCTAAATGACTTGGATGTCTTTAAAACAACTAGAAGCACTAAAAGCCTTTCTTCTAAAGGAAGATGCTAGCGCTGTCGCCAGACGCCATTTTTTTTACTACAGCAAAAAAACCTACAGCGTTGCGCGGTACAGTCGGTGTTTCCGTCTGTTTTCTGATTGGTTGTTTTTGTGCTGCCTAGTCCCGCCCCTCATGTGCCTCTCTGCCTGTGAGGTACCAGACTTGTTCTCTGTGTAGGGCACGAGTCTGGCAGGCCAGGCTAACGGCCCCGCCACTCTGAAGTTGCAAGTGTGATGTTCTGGCTACAGAGGGCGCTGGGGTCTGAGTGACTCCATTAACCAGTAAACCAGGGGTGTCGAACTCAAACTCCCACTGGGACCAAGTCGCGGGCTAAACGCGATATTTTTAAAAAGTGACGCTAAACGTGCTCTTTTAGTCTCCAGATCTGTATGTTGAGCCTTTTCATTTGGAAACCAACAGATTTTAGCAGTAACACCGAATGTGGAATAACCAAATTACACACGAGCAAATCCATGTTAAACAAAGCACACATCAGTGGTCTCACTTATTAAAAATAGTTTTATTCCCTAAAATATTCAGCTTTTTACAACGTTTTAATCTTTGGTGTTTCTAAATAGTGTTTTCTTGTTTTTATTTTTTACTCTGTTTTTGCTCCTGTAATAAATGTTATTGCTGCTTTCCCACTGAGGGAAAATAAAGGCACTTTCTATTCTTTTATCTGTAGTTTTTCCAGTTCCTGTTTTAAAGTAGGTAAACTTAATCTCACCTTTTACCTTTCATGCTTTTGGAGCAGAAAAATAACCCAAGCCCAGTTTGCTCCCACACCTGCACCTGTGGGGTTGGCTCGGAGCTGAGGAAGACCTGTTCATCTTCATCACAGAGAGCAGGTGCACACATAGATAAGTGCTGCTGAACATGGAGAGCAGCTGGACCACGCTGTTGGTCAGTGAGAGAGAGAAGCTGCAGCAGCCACAGAGGCCTGCTGGTGGAGCGTTGCTAAACTGGAGTTAAATCATCTGGGTGGAAGTTGGTCGGTGTGCTGTCTGCCGGCCAAGAACAGATTAGTGAGCTATTAAACTCGGGGCTGAGTAAGAAGAGGTACCGCTGATGCTAGTAGCATGGACGCTAATGACCGTAAACATACCGTTTTTTTGCCCTCTATCATCAACATGTTCCATCTTTGTTGAAACACCTTCCTTCTGCACCAACCCTTCCCTTCCTGGACATGTTGGGATCATTTGTGGAAAGTTATTTTCTCTTGTTGCATTAATTAAACATGGATGTGGAAACACTGCCACCTAGTGGGGAAATACTGTCACTGCACTGCTAATGCAATCGCCATGCATTATGGGAAATGTAGTTTATACGCTGTGTGCTTTGAACTCAACTCAACTTTATTTATAAATCGCGCCATTCAGGCAAAAAGATGCCTCCAAGGCACTACACAGATCAAGTAAAAACATGAAACATTAAATCCAGAAAATTAAAACATTGTATCACAAGATACAGATAAAAATACAGTGTATACATATGTGTGTACCTGGGTACATACCTGTATACATATGTGTGTACCTGGGTACATACCTGTATACATATGTGTGTACCTGGGTACATACCTGTATACATATGTGTGTACCTGGGTACATACCTGTATACATATGTGCGTACCTGGGTACATACCTGTATACATATGTGCGTACCTGGGTACATACCTGTATACATATGTGTGTACCTGGGTACATACCTGTATACATATGTGTGTACCTGGGTACATACCTGTATACATATGTGCGTACCTGGGTACATACCTGTATACATATCTGTGTACCTGGGCACATACCTGTATACATATGTGCGTACCTGAGTACATACCTGTATACATATCTGTGTACCTGGGTACATACCTGTAAACATATGTGTGTACCTGGGTACATACCCAGGGTTTCCTCCAGTGCTTTATAAGCCTGGCGGCCCACCAGGCTTTACTTTCCCATCCACCAGGCTAAGCCTCATGCCCCGCCCCCTCCCCGACCCTACCGTGCACAGCGAAACCAGAGCCCTCCATCAGCTGATACTGGTGAGAAACAGCAGAGGAACGTGTGCAACCACCCCACCCCCGCTCTCACAGAGGAGGGCTGCAGAATGGAGCGCGCGAATCCCCCCCCCCCCCCGACGGCTGAAGCCGCCAGGCTTAACTCCTTTTCTGGGAGAAACCCTGCATACCTATACATACCTGTATACATACCTCTGTACCTGGGTACATACCCGAACACATACCTGGTTACATACTTGTATACATATGTTTGTACCTGTGTACATACCTGTATCCATACCTGTGTCCATACCTGTGTACATAACTGGGTATATACCTGTAGCCATACCTGTGTACATACCTGTATACATATGTGTGTATCTGTGTAATGTAATCTAAACCCAAGTATTCATTCTCTTCAGGTGAGCCGATTGGGGATCGTTTCAGTCAGTGAGTGATCTACATTTTTTCCCATGATCCAGCCATGTTTGAGCTTCTGTGATCTAACACTGTGTGGTTGCCTAGGTAACAGTCTGAAAGATGACATCAGTTGCTTGGCAGCTGACAGGATGCTCGTGTTTGCTGCTAGCGGGCGGACGGTGTACGCATTTGCCAGAAACAAAGAGGTGACATTTGTCTTCATCCTTTCTTTTTCTTTTGTTTTTGTGCTTCTGTCTGACCTCACCTGTTAGTTTTGAGCTTTTCTGCTTTCCGTACAGGTGGTGATTCAATACGTTGGTCACAAACAGAACGTGTGTCTGCTGCTGCCAATGGGCGATCAGCTAATCTCTTCTGACAACAGTGGTGATGTCATAGTGTGGGACGTCCAGGGAGGAGGTGAGCCGAGGGGCTGGAGCTGCAGGCACATTCACCTGCTGCTCCAGTGTTCCTGTTACCCATCATGCTTTGCTCTCTGCGTCTGTCAGACATCTACTTGCAGCTGCACTTTGATCCGAACACCTTTGATATATCTGCCATGATGCATCCCAGCACTTACCTGAATAAAGTGCTGCTGGGCAGCTCCCAGGGTGCACTGCAGCTCTGGAACATCAAGACCAGGTAAGACCAACCTGACAGCCATGGCAACGATCCACTTCCTGTTTTTGTGTTGTTCAGAAGAAGTTTGTCTTCATGGGACCAAACAAGCAAACCCTTGTTGGCATCTGTCTCGCTAACGATGATGATGATGATGATGATGATGTGACACATGAGTAAACTTACACCTCTTCCTCAGTAAGCTGCTGTACGTGTTTCCTGGATGGTCGGCTGGAGTCACCGTTCTGCAGCAGGTCAGTCTGATCCACCTGTCCTCTGAGTCCAGGCCTGATCTTTTCTGGACACGGCTTGTTGATTATGAATAATGTTAACAGTAGGGTTGGGTGTCGTTTGAATTTGAATGATTCCAATTCCTCGTTTTGATTCTGGTTCCTATCGATTCCCGATTCTGATTCTTTCCAGTGGTAGGATCCAAAAACATGGCGCGGCTTAAACGAGCCGGCTAACCACAGGTATTACTCGATGAAATAATCTGAACTCAACATCCATCCATCGGAGCTCCCTCCATCTCCTACACATCTTTGGGGGCAGATCTGCGGCCCCTCACTCTCTATTGGACGCTCCTATAGAGAAACCTTACAGATACAAGCGCGTGTACACACACAGATACACACAGGTGCTCACATAAGGATGGACTTGGGCATTTTCGACACAGGTCTTAAAGCTGGAAGGTAAATCGAGAGCTTCGCCTTCTGACTCAGCTCTCTCTTCACCACGACAGACCGGTACAACGCCCGCATCACTGCAGATGCAGCACCGATCCGCCTATCGATCTCACGCTCCAGTTTTCCCTCACTCGTGAACAAGACCCCGAGATACTTAAACTCCTCCCCTTGGGGCGGGACCTCATCCCTGACCCGGAGAAGACATTCTACCCTTTTCTGACTCAAATCCATGATCTCAGTTTTAGAGTAGGGATGTCCCGATCAGGTGTTTTTGCCCTCGAGTCCGAGTCATTTGATTTTGAGAATCTGCCGATACCGAGTCCCGATCCGATACTTTTGATACATAAAAAAACAAATAAGAAGAAAAGGAAGAAACAGTTCCAGAATGTTCCTTCTTTTTTATTTAATTACCTTTTATTTAAATTTTTAACAACAGATCACTTCTGTGAGGTAGCTTGAACAAGTAATAAATAACATAAATTCTTCACTTTTGGACTTTATTGCAAATATAAAAAGTCTAATATAAAAACAGATCGCACTTCAACTTAAAATACCTGGCAGGGGTTTATTTTGCCTCGGCCCCCAAAATGCTTAGATACATCCCTGGACATGGGACGGAGTTTTGAAGACGATCTGAATTGTATCGACTATATAAACATGCTGATAAGTTATTGCTGTATACAGGTACAAACGTGTAGTGGGATCAATCTACCTACTTTTTATTTTTTTAAGAGCTTTGTTTTGTTTTCTTGGTTTTTATTTTCCTGTCTTCCTGTCCTGTCTCTCTGATCTTCCTGTCCTGTCTCTCTGATCTTCCTGTCCTGTCTGTTTCTGACCTTCCTGTCCTGTCTCTCTGACCTTCCTGTCCTGTCTCTCTGACCTTCCTGTCCTGTCTGTCTCTGACCTTCCTGTCCTGTCTCTCTGATCTTCCTGTCCTGTCTGTCTCTGACCTTCCTGTCCTGTCTCTCTGATCTTCCTGTCCTGTCTGTCTCTGACCTTCCTGTCCTGTCTCTCTGATCTTCCTGTCCTGTCTCTCTGATCTTCCTGTCCTGTCTCTCTGATCTTCCTGTCCTGTCTGTCTCTGACCTTCCTGTCCTGTCTCTCTGATCTTCCTGTCCTGTCTCTCTGATCTTCCTGTCCTGTCTCTCTGATCTTCCTGTCCTGTCTCTCTGATCTTCCTGTCCTGTCTGTCTCTGATCTTCCTGTCCTGTCTGTTTCTGACCTTCCTGTCCTGTCTCTCTGACCTTCCTGTCCTGTCTGTTTCTGACCTTCCTGTCCTGTCTCTCTGACCTTCCTGTCCTGTCTGTCTCTGACGTTCCTGTCCTGTCTCTCTGACCTTCCTGTCCTGTCTCTCTGACCTTCCTGTCCTGTCTGTCTCTGACGTTCCTGTCCTGTCTCTCTGATCTTCCTGTCCTGTCTCTCTGATCTTCCTGTCCTGTCTCTCTGATCTTCCTGTCCTGTCTCTCTGATCTTCCTGTCCTGTCTGTCTCTGATCTTCCTGTCCTGTCTGTTTCTGACCTTCCTGTCCTGTCTCTCTGACCTTCCTGTCCTGTCTGTCTCTGACCTTCCTGTCCTGTCTCTCTGATCTTCCTGTCCTGTCTCTCTGATCTTCCTGTCCTGTCTGTCTCTGATCTTCCTGTCCTGTCTGTCTCTGATCTTCCTGTTCTGTCTCTCTGACCTTCCTGTCCTGTCTCTCTGATCTTCCTGTCCTGTCTGTCTCTGATCTTCCTGTCCTGTCTCTCTGATCTTCCTGTCCTGTCTCTCTGATCTTCCTGTCCTGTCTGTCTCTGATCTTCCTGTCCTGTCTCTCTGATCTTCCTGTCCTGTCTCTCTGATCTTCCTGTCCTGTCTGTCTCTGATCTTCCTGTCCTGTCTGTCTCTGATCTTCCTGTCCTGTCTCTCTGATCTTCCTGTCCTGTCTGTCTCTGATCTTCCTGTCCTGTCTGTCTCTGATCTTCCTGTCCTGTCTGTCTCTGATCTTCCTGTCCTGTCTGTCTCTGATCTTCCTGTTCTGTCTCTCTGACCTTCCTGTCCTGTCTCTCTGATCTTCCTGTCCTGTCTGTCTCTGATCTTCCTGTCCTGTCTCTCTGATCTTCCTGTCCTGTCTCTCTGATCTTCCTGTCCTGTCTGTCTCTGATCTTCCTGTCCTGTCTCTCTGATCTTCCTGTCCTGTCTCTCTGATCTTCCTGTCCTGTCTGTCTCTGATCTTCCTGTCCTGTCTGTCTCTGATCTTCCTGTCCTGTCTCTCTGATCTTCCTGTCCTGTCTGTCTCTGATCTTCCTGTCCTGTCTGTCTCTGATCTTCCTGTCCTGTCTCTCTGATCTTCCTGTCCAGTCTGTCTCTGATCTTCCTGCATCTCCCAGTCCTCCAGACAAACTCCTGCCTGCTTCCTTCTTTTTCACCTCACAAGTAACTTTTTAACCAGCAGATCAAATTGATCTGTTGACCGCAAAAAAAGGCGGAGTGTGCGCCGCGCTGCCCGGCTGCGCTAGTGACGAGCGCTGCAGCGTGAGCGCGTCCACACGTCATGCTCAAATAACAGACAGAACTTACAAGAGAGAAAATGAATGGACACGAATGACTGTGTGTTAATTATATATTTTTTGGTGACGCCACTTAGAAACTTAGGAAGTGTTACTGTGGCCGTATGCAGAGCGCAGCTGGAGTTCATGAATGATCAGCGGTCTGCCTGCCGCTCTGCATCTCTGCTCAGAAGAATCCCCGCTACGCTGACTCCATGTAAATAATATAATAAAGGTAGAAACTGGATCTCTTTGGTGCTCCTTCTGGGTGTGTAAGTTAAGGGCATCAGGGGAGCCTGAAAACCTTTAAGGAGAACCAAGTTGCTCTCCTGTAATTTGAACCCAGTATCCAACTCCGGATCGGGGCTTGGACCGGGAAGTAAAGCCCGAGTCCCGATCAGTCTGAAACCACGTGATTGGGCTTATTTCCGATCATGTGATCGGATCGGGACATCCCTAATTTAGAGGAGCTGATTCTCATCCCAGCTGCTTCACACTCGGCTGCGAACCGCTCCAGCGAAAGCTGAAGGTCATGTTCTGATGAAGCCAACAGGACCACATCATCTGCAAAAAGCAGAGACCTGATCCTCAGGCCACCAAAATGGATGCCCTCCACACCTTGGCTGCACCTAGAAATCCTGTCCATAAAGGTTATGAACAGAATCGGTGACAAAGGGCAGCCTTGGCGGAGTCCAACTCTCACTGGGAACGAGCCCGACTTACTGCCGGCAATGTGGTCCAAGCTCTGACACCGGTCATACAGGGACCTAACAGCCCGTATCAGAGGGCCTGGTACCCCATACTCCCGGAGTACCCCCCACAGGGCCCCCCGAGGGACGCGGTCAAACGCCTTCTCCAAATCCACAAAACACATGTAGACTGGTTGGGCGAATTCTCACGCACCCTCCAGGATCCCCCTAAGGGTACAGAGCTGGTCCAGTGTTCCACGGCCAGGACGAAAACCACATCGCTCCTCCTGAATCTGCCAACTGAATCCTCCAAATGTCGATCCAAAACATGCCTTTAAATCACGTCACATGTGTAAAAGTTTATTAAAAGTTAGAAATGTCACAATTTGAAAAAAGCAGCAATAAAATGGTTTAGTTGCTGGTGAAGCTTAACATCAGTGATCCTAGGAGCTAAGCTGTCCGAGGCTTTGTGCCTGGTGGCCGGGCTTTTACCCACGGAGCCCGGCCGGGTTCAGCCCAAAGAGGAGAGGTGAGAAGCCAGGCGTCTTCAAGAAACCAAAGAAGTCTGCTTGGGTTACCGTGACCTGTATGAGTGGGAACCTTCACCTGCACGTAATACACAAATCATCAAGTAGACTCATTTAGTGTGTTTAGGATCTGAAATGAGAAGCATTTATGTTGATTAATGAATCAATAAATCACTTTATTCGGTTCATTTATTTCAAACATATACATTCACCAACATTTCATAAAATCATTCCATGCAGTTGTTTGAAAAGGAGTAGGGAGAAGTGTATACTTATTTAGCCCCACCCCCTCAGGTTTACATCCTCATCATCTAAATTTAAACAACAAAATGTTTACAATGCCTTCAAAAAAAAAAAAATTATAATAATAATAATTCTCATGTTCAACTAGAACTGTATTTAGATTTTCTAATTTGTAGAAGAGATTAAACATCGGTTTGCATGCCGTCCTGGGTTAATTGCATTTTCTTCATTCTTATACTTATTTAACATTTCTTTTTTGAGTTTTATTTTAAACTGGTTTATGTCACTACTGACCTTTATTTCTTCTGTTAACTCATTCCAGAATTTAACACCCGCTATTGAAATAGCCATCCTTTTCAATGTTGTTCTTACTCTTTGTACTTTTAAATTCCACTTCCCTCTAAAATTATACCTCCCTTCTCTTTCTAAGAACCATTTACTTATTTCAATTGGGAGCTTCCCTTTCCTTGCCTTATATATTATTTGCACTGTTTTAAACTTGACCAGGTCCTGGAATTTTAAAGCTTGCGTCTTAATATAGAGTGCGTTTGTGCGAGCCCTATACCCCCCCTGATTTATTAGTCTAATAGCCCTTTTCTGCATTATGATGATAGTCTGAATATTACTTTTATATGTGTTTCCCCAAACCTCTACACAATAACTCATGTATGGTAATATGAAAGCACAATATAACATATATAATGTTTTCCTATCCAGAAAATGTTTTACTTTCCCCAAGACAGCAATGCCCCGTGCTAACTTTCCCCTCACATAAGTGATGTGTGATTTCCAACAGGCCTTATGATCAGTGATCACACCAAGAAATTTTATGGTATTAACCATTTCTAGATACACATTATCAACACAAATTTCAATGTTAATGTTTTTCTTATAGTTTCTGAATAACATAAATTTTGTTTTATTTAAATTTAAGGACAATTTGTTTCTATCAAACCACGTCTTTAATATCTTTAACTCCTGTGTGATCACCTCCACAACCTGTTGAATTCCCCCACTTGAACAAAGTATATTGGTATCATCTGCAAAAATTACAAACTTTAGGATCTTCGATACTTTACAAATATCATTTGTATTCATTATAAACAATTTTGGTCCCAATACTGATCCTTGGGGTACTCCACATTCAATATCCATCAATTTAGATTTAAACTAATTTATTTGTACAAATTGCTGTCGATTCATCGCATAGCTTTTTATCCAATCCAATACCACACCCCTAAACCCATATTTCTCCAGTTTGATTATTAGAATTTTGTGGTCAACCTTAGGTAGAACGTTCATTTAGGGCTGTAGCGAAGCCTCGACGACGTCGACGGCTCGATTCTAAAAATTTGTCGACGTCAGATCCGGAAGTCGACGCACCGCGCCCACTTGTTGTATCCCCAGGAGTTTGTAAATAGAGGAGGAATCTGCCTGTTTTTCCTGTAGTTCGCCCTCTTCTCCACCTTCACTAACATCTCCGCCAAATACCGAAGAACCGGATCAACGTCCGTCCGCTACTAGATTCCTTTCCTGTTTTGCCCGCCTTCGTCTCCCGGCAACGGACAACAACTTCCGGGGTCAGATGCGCTGCTTCGTGTCTATCGCAGATGTAGAAAATCACCGGGAGCGTTTCTCCCTTCATAAAGGAGCTTCTTTCAGACATGAGGAGAGCTGTTTTGGTGGTAGCAGTCTCTCCTCCGTGCTGGTCTGTTTGCTGCTGGGTGTTTTTGGTTTATTTAAACTTGGTAACTTGAACTTAACGTTGGTAAAGCTACTGTTAGCATCTTCGCTAACAGCTTCTTGCGTTGGGATAAGCTGTTACGTTTTGGTTTAGAGTTCATCTTTTTTGTGGTGTAGATCTCCCTTTTATTACATTTAGAGTGTTGTGGGTTTTCGGTTTAGTGTAAAATATCACCTGAGTTTGGTTTAACCCGTAAGACCACTCGCCTCACGCACATAAGTGACCAAAACAAAGCAGCATGGAGACACTCCATCTTCTACCACCTCTCAGGCAGCAGCCTGCACTCCCAAGTTCTTCATGTCATCAGAACATAACCAACCAACACAATAAACGCAGTGTTATACAAAATGGAAGGCCTGTAGTGTTTATTCTCTTACAGTAACAATTTATCAATTTTTTTGAGGAATTTATTTGAGATTTTCTGGTTTTTGTTAATTGTGCAATAGAAAAATAATCATTAGATTAATTTTCTAAATAGTCATTAGAATAGTCGACTATTCGATAAAATAATCGTCAGAATAATCGTTTTAAAAATAATCGTTTACCCCCAGCCCTACGTTCATTGTAGATAACAGAATATGATTTTAAACAACCTTTGGGTTGAAAGAAATCATTTATGAGTCTAAAATAAGAGTAAAAGTCTCGTCTGCTGAAGGATGTGAGGTGCGGGCCAGATCAGGGCGTCAGGGACCATGCTAAATCAAACGTTCCCGGAACGCAAATACTGACGTCAAATCAAAGCTCACTAAGGGTAAAACTGATGCCGGAACGCGCGGAGGGGGTGGGGCTTAAAATTGTGTCCACATTTTCAAAGTTAACACACATCTTTAACTCTCAGAGTTCCTGCTGCTCTAAACATTAAAATAATTATTTAATTTTCTGTTCCTCACTTCTGATTACCTTCAATGGTGTCTGTTTGTTGCAACCACCAGGTACAAAAACTAACTTGTTTTTATTTGACTATTTTTCTGTCCTGCCTGTTTATTATCTTCCTGCATCTCCTCTCAATCCTAAAGAGAAACTGCTACCTGGGTTCATTTATATTCACCTCATGAGTTACCTTTGAACTGCAGTTCTAAAAGATCTACCGACCGCTAAAACAGAGGAGTGCATCACCTGGTGCGGTGATGTCACCGGAGGACGAAACAGGTGATGCGCTCCGCTCCGCAGCAGCGAAAAGCATCAGGCACAAATAAAAGATAGAAAACACTAAAGGAAATGAGCCGACATGAACGATCACGTGTTAGTTTTTGAGGTGGCGACACCTGATTTGATAATGTTACTGTGGCCGTGCTCAGGACGCAGATGTCTGGAGCGTGTCAATGATCAGAGCTCTGCGCCTCTCAGGTAGAAATAATCCCCGGAGAGTCCACATAGATAATGTAATATAAGCAGAACCAGCATCGATCGGGCTCCCCCGGGTGTGTTGAGGGCTTCCAGGAGCTCCTTTAGCTCACCCGTAATTCGGACGCTGCGTATAGCACAAGTTTGTGGCGTGAGTTGTTGGATCCTAGCAGACAGTTGCCGTAATGGTCCTTTCAAAATAAAATAGTTACCTGATCTTGTTCCGGCAGGATCCGGCTCAAATGAAGTCCTGGTGTCAGGAGAAGGGATTTTTTTATGGCTTCCCTGCTTGGTAGCAAGGTCACAGAGCCCGTGTCCTGGGGTGGAAAACGCACAGTTAACAGCGGACAAAGCACTCTGGACATTTCCAACTCCACATCGTGGAACACTGGACCACCTCTATATCCTTAGGGGGTCCTGGAGGGGGCGTGTGATTTCGCCCAACCAGTCTACGTGTGTTTGTGGATTTGGAGAAGGCGTTGGATGGCGTCTTTCGGGGAGTGTAGTCCTGATTCTGTTGGTGTTGTTTGTGAACGGGGATGTAACGTTGTGTGAGATTACTATTCTGTCTCCTTTTGCCGGTTCTGTGCTGTTTTACAGTGTTGGTCTGTGTTAGTCGGCTGAAGGTTTAGCCCATCAGCTGTCTAAGTGGGGGGGTCGGTTTGTGTGTTTTGGGGTAATGTATATTTTTGGTAGGAAATCAGCGTTTGTACATTTTTTCTGTTATTTACCTTTTTTCTTGTGGTTTCAGTCATTTTTGATGTTTTTCTTAATATCTTCTGTTGGATCTTTTTTTGCATGTTTTTCTGTCCTCTAGCATCTGTTCTGTCTGTACCTCAGTCGGGTGTTTTCTGGAGAAAAGAAGAAAACACAACGGTCACTAGCTCTAGACTTTGGCTCTTACATGATATGAAGCAGCTCGTTCTGGAAGGCCTACGTGAGACCTGATGAAACAAAATTCGTGTCTGTAAATCAGGCTAATAACTGACCTCCGTCGCCCTCATGGAGACTGTCACCTACCACTTTAAACAAAGACGTCCCTTTTCAGAGTCCTGCGGTGGATGTGGTTGGTGTTGGCATGGCAACGGGCCGCATCGTCATTCACAACATCCGACTGGACGAGACGCTCATGAGCTTTACGCAGGACTGGGGACCAATCAGCTCACTGGCCTTCAGGACAGGTATGCTGCACCTCAGCTTTATTTACTCAGAAGGATAGGAAGCTGGTTCAGACTTAAATCCTGACTGTGGCTGTTGTCGGTGCCAAGGAACCTCGCCTTGATGCCTTGGTCCTACCCCTATTGCCTAGGAGCATGGACGTAATTTTTTGGGGGGGACAGGGGGGACATGTCCCCCCCACTTTTTCCAAAGTCAAGTTTTGACCCCTGCACTTTTTACCATCCAAAAACAATATTACGCTATATTAAATTGACATTAGTTGAGCTCTAGGACCAAGCAGAAAACAACCGTTTGTGTTGAAGCCTGTTTCCCATTAGAGCATACTGTAAAGATCCCCCCCCCCACTCCGTGTCCCCCCCACTTCTAAAGTGAAAATTACGTCCGTGCCTAGGAGATACATCATCAGGAACCGCCAAGGCGTGTTCCAATGTTCATCAGGGTATCCGCGGGTCCTTAAAAAGTCTTAAATTAGCTTTTCCAAATTTAAGGCCTTAAAAATCCTTAAAAATGACAAATAATCCTTAAATAGTTTCCAAAGGTCTTAAATTACCAAAGACCCAATAAACGAGATTCTTTTATTTCTATAAAATTTTCATGAATTTCTAGTTAGTTTGGCATTTTTTGTGTATGATATTGGCATAAGCGGAACCGTATACATTCGGTTGGTTGTGAAAGGGGGCTATTTTTAGATGAGCATGCTAGTGGGAGTTTGCGCCATGGGGAAGTGCAACATTAATGGTAACTGAATGGCTAATCCCACGTTCATGACGTGGTTAGCACCGGTTCCAGGCAATAGCTGGAAATTATAACTTAAGTTTAATTTTAAAAAAAAATAGCTTAAATTTGGTCAAAGTGGTCTTAAAAAAGGTCTTAAAAAGCCTTAAATTTGGCTCCTTTAAACCTGCAGATACCCTGTTCATGTGCTAGCGCAGCGTGTAACTGTTTAGCTAGCTGACCAAGAATACACAGGAGGTGTCTTGTAGCCTTGCCTTGGTCAAGAATGTCAGGGAACAGCGCGGTATTTTCAAAAGGATGGCGGGTCAGGAGCCGGCAGCGACTTCATATTTAATTAAACCGATAAATAAACAGACTAAAAGGCTCATTATACATTTATATTGAAACTTATACGTGTAATACAACTTAACCTCGCGTGTCACATGGCGTTCGGAGAACAGTCCGGCCCGAAGAAGGATGACCCTCTGAGACGGTGGAAAGTGGGTTCGGGTCAGGGTTAGCTGTAGCTTTCCTGCTGCAGCGGTGGTTTTCAGCAGCAGGTGATGCCGTGTCAAAGAAGAGGCCTCGCCTCAGCCCTGAACATGGAGACACGCTCGCCGAATCAGGAGATGTCAGCCCAAACCAGGTCCGTCTAACCCGAGTTGGGACTTAAAGTAGATTTATTTAGAACTTTAAATCCAGAGGGTGGGACCTGAACCTGGTTAGGAATGATGGGAATTCCAGTCTGTGGTTCTGTAGGATCATGTCTTAACCCCACTGAGGGTTCTCCTCTGCACCTTCATGTCGCACAAACACGTGTTCCTGCTGTGTTCTCTGATTCAGATGGCCCACCCATCATGGCATCAGGCAGTCCTCAGGGCCACATTGCATTTTGGGACTTAGAACGCCAGCAGCTGATAAATCAGCAGAGACACGCCCACAAAACAGCTGTTGCTGGAGCAACGTTCCTGCATGGAGAGCCGCTACTGGTCACCAATGGAGCCGATAACGCCATCAAGGTAAACAAACAAACAAACAATTAGAGCGCTACGTGAACGCCTGACAAATCACTAGAGCTGTTTTATCTCAGGTGTGGATCTTTGATCAAGAGGGAGGTGGAGCCAGACTTCTGCGTTGTCGTCAGGGCCACAGCGCCCCTCCTACAACCATCCGTCACCATGGTAACGACGGAAAGAACATCCTCAGTGCTGGTAAAAGCCACTGGATTAAACAATCATGTGACCCTTGATGTTTTCAGAAGAAGAAAGTTGTGCTGCTCTCTGCAGGTCAGGATGGGACGCTGCAGTCGTTCTCCACCGTGCATGAGCGCTTCAACAAGAACCTGGGTCATGGTCGGTTCCCTCCTCCACCAAGTTCTGCTTAGAACCGCGGTCACCAGATGAGGATTCTCACGGAGTTTAGTTTTCATCCAACATTTTCCAGGTTCCGTCAGCAAGAAGAAAGAAAAAAAGAAGAAGAAAGGTCTTTCATACGACGAGCTGCGACTTCCTGCAATAACAGCATTTTCCTCAGGTGGGTGTGCCGACACGTCACAAACCCATAGATGAGCCATAGGTGTTGGGCGGTCCTTAGGAAAACCTTGTGCTCGTCTGTTGATTGGCAGCTGTCGCTCGTCAGTCAGACTGGGATGGCATTGTTGCTTGTCATCGCAATCGCTTGACTGTCACCACGTGGAACTACCTGCGGTGCACCATGGGAGCTCATCAGCTGAAGCCCCCGGGACCCAGAGGAGAAGCCATCGCCACGGTAACGTCGAGTTCTTATAACGTATCATTTCTGTTGTGTTCCTTCTCGTGCGATTGTTTTTTCTAAATGAGCGTGAGTCTCTAACTCCACCCACCTCTCAGAAGGACTGCCTGCTTCTGTTCCTAGGCTGTTGACATCACTTCCTGTGGAAACTTTGCTGTGATTGGCTCGTCGTGTGGCCGTGTTGATGTCTATAACCTGCAGTCTGGCCTGCACCGTGGTTTCTACGGTGACAATGAGAAAGGTGAGGTCACCTTTTTTTTATTATGACAGAAAACCGACAAACGTGACGCCAATGAGAAGATGGATGGAACCCCGAACACGGCATTACAGGGAGTGTCATGTTGCCATGGATACCAGAGAGGGAGTGAGGGGGGTTATAGGTTTCGTTTCGTTTTATTGAGATCCTCATTAGCTTCTGCCTGAGTGCAGATGCTAGTCTTCCTGGGGTCTCATACATTTTCATACAATTGTTTACATGGGATAATACCCTTTACACACAAACACACACACATTCACGCACACACATCCCTAATTCCCATAATACCAGTAGCTCAAGATGAAATCACATATCTAGAACAAAATTATATATATAAACTAATATCGGGAAAGGAGTTAATCACACCAATAAAGATTGAAAATAAAATATAACAGAATGGTGACATCATGTCCATTGTTTCGTATCATAGTTCATCGATATCCAGTATTCGACCTCAAACACAGATTCTCAATCCTTCGTTGCAGAGTTCATAGTCACTATACAATTAAGTGTGTAAACAAAAACATTTTCAGTTTCTTATGAAAAGAAATGTTATGTAGGTGTGTTCTATTTATGAGGATTCTTAAAGCAGACCTGCCAGCCTCTACCCATTTTGCGTAGCGAGTACGTATCTAGTTACGCAGGTACATCTCTCCCCTCTGAACGACGCCTACAGCGGCGGACACGTGAGTTCTGTAGCAGATACGCTCGTGTCTGACAACACCACTCAGCAGCACGGTGAAGAAGGCTAGGCCTGTCCCTGCTGCATCTGCCCAACGCCCCTCTCCATCCTCCGGTTCCCGCTCGCTGCTTTTCTGTGGTTAAAGAGGTAAACGGAAGCCTGAGTGGAACAGAAAGATCTGCGAGGAAAGGGGCGTCTGTGCGTGTTTTTCAGCCGTTACACATACATGGCACACACATTTAAAGGATGAATGTGAATATTTCTACAGTTTAAACGCGCCTTTTGCAGCACGGTTTACAACCCATGCTATGGCAGATGAGGGAGAGGTTAGCGGGCCTGCGAGCAAGAAGAGGGTCCGTGCGTTTCAGACGGTTTCGCCTACAGCAGCAGTGGCCATGCTGGCAGTCTAAACCCGGAGTCGGGTTACGGGGGCAGAAGCGTGGAGAGGCCCAGACTTCCCTCTCCCCAGCCACTTGGGCCAGCTCCTCCGAGGAAATCCCAAGGGGTTCCCCGGCCAGGTCCGGTAAGAAGTCCGCTCCGACAGCTTCTGGCATTTTTAAAAAGTATCCCAGGGACACGGTAAGGGTCGGAGATGTTTAGTCAATTTAATTTCTGACTATATAAAACGATTTATTCGGTTTTAAAGTGTGAAGTAAACTCCGATGAAGTAAAATCCAAGCCGATCCCGTTCATGTTTACTATCCGTGTTTCTTTACCTTTTTTGCCTGCCAATAAGGCGTCTACTAACTGAGAGTCACGTGGGGTCCGGAGCTCTATAGCCCCAGTTGACGTCAACAGCTCCCCATCCCCACTGTAAATGCGTTTACATGCAGCCAGTAACCCTTTTAAAACCCGAATATTCACAATAACCTGGTTCCGCAGGTCCATGTAAACACCGCCAAAAACCCGGATATGCTCATAACGGGTTTTTAAAAACCCGGTTACTACACCTGGGGTAACCCTTTTCTAACCCGAATGTTTGGTCGTGTAAACGCATACCGGGATATCACCATCAAAGCGTGTGTTCTGTGCATGCTCTGTTCACAAGGAATCTTGGTCTTTTGAGTAGCGAGACGTCTTGTTTGCGCCAGAACACCGGAAGTAAACAACAAGTTGGGAGCAACATGGCGAGTCGCGGCACAGCACCACACTTTTGGAGTGACGAGGAAACTAAAGCACAAACAAACGCGGTCGCTATCTCTTCCGAACTGGGAAACATGTTGTTTTCACGGATACCGGAACAAGAAGAACCGGAAATGAGGCATATTGCGTCTGGACGTAGTCCACACGTCCTGACGCTACCCCAACGTCCGCATTTAAATCGGGTTATGCAAGTTAGGGCTAACTCTTTCTATTTATGCTTGTAAACGGGTTATTCTGATCAACTCAGAAACCCGAATACCGACCTTAACCCGATCATAACCCGGATATTGGCTGCATGTAAACGTAGTGTGAGCAAAGTGCTGCCTTCTATTCCTGAGGCACCGAAAGGTTTGCCCGAACCTTTTTGGAACTGATCGATAGTCTGTCTCCAGGGTCTCGCCAAACTTCTCCCACGCCCAAGATTTTGCCTCGGCAACTGCCACCGCTGCACCCCTCTTAGCCCTCCTGTACGTGTCTGCTGCCTCTGGAGATGCACAGACCAGCCTTGCCCTGTAGGCCGCCTCCTTCAGCTTGACAGCTCCCCCAATCTCTGGTGTCCACCAGCGGGTACGGGGGTTACTGCCACAACTGGCACCGGCCACCTTGTGCGACCACAGCTAGCAACAGCCGCCTCAACAATTGCAGAGCGGAACAAGGCCCACTCGGAGTCAATATCCCCCACTGCTCTCAGGACGCGGTCAAAGCTCTGCCGGAGTTGAAGACCTTCTGGACTTCTGATTCATCTGCCAGGCGTTCCCAGAAAACCCTCACAATACATTTGGGTCTACCAGACCTGCGCAGCATCTTGCCCTGCCATCTGATCCAGCTCACCACCAGGTGTTGATCAGTTGACAGCTCTGCTCCTCTCTTTACTTGAGTGTCCAAAGCATATGGTCTCTGGTCAGATGATACAACTACAAAGTGAATCATTGACCTGTAACCTAGGCTGCCCTGGTACCAGGCATACCGATGGACATCCTTATGTTTGAACATGGTGTTTGTTATGGCCAAACTGCGACTTGTGCAGAAGTCCAATAACAAAACACCACTTGAGTTCAGATTTGGCAGGCCGTTTCTCCAAATCATGCCACTCCAGGTCACGCTATCATTGCCAACGTGAGCAATGGAGTCCCCAGTTGGAGCACCATCTAGTACTCGTCCCAGGGACTCCAAAAAGGGGGGGTACTCTGAACTGCTATTTGTTGCATAAGCACAAACAACAGTCAGGACCCATTTCCCGAACTGAAGGCGCAAGGATGCTACCCTTTTGTCCCCTTGAGAAAACCCCAACATGCAGGCAGAGTCTTGGTCTAACAAAAAGCCCACCCTAGCCTCTCACCCTGATCAACTCCAGCATAAAAGAGAGTCCAACCTCTCTCAAGGACTTGGGTTCCATAGCCAATGCTTTGTGTCGAGATGAGCCAGACTATATCTAGCCGGTACCGCTCGACCTCCTTCACAAGCTCCAGGTCCTTCCCGCCAGAGAGGTAACGTTCCATGTCCCAATAGCCAGTTTTTGTGTCCGGGGATCGGACCGCCAAAACTCCCACCTTAGTCTGCTACCTGATCCACATTGCACCGGACCCTTCCTGTTCCTCCTGCTGGTGGTTGGTCCGGTTCGGGCTAGGCCTGGGCCCGGGCCCCATGGGCGCGTTCAAGGAGGAGTAGTCAAACAAATGGATGACTAATCAAGTGGTGATTTGTATTTTTTCTCAAGATTTCTGAATTGCTTACTGTAGTGCTCCGCTCTCCTGTCGGCTTGCATGAGTTTAAATTCTTCCAGGGAAACCTCAGAGTCTGCTATGAGCTTGTTCATCCACATCTCCGTAAAAAAACATCATGCTCTCAGTAGTACCGCTGCAGCAGCCGGGTCAGCGCTTAGAGCTCAACCATTTTATTGGGGAGAGAGCGGACATTTACCATAATCGCAAAGGGTAGATGTGGTTTATATCTCTGTTCCCTCTAAGACAGGGGTGTCAAACATGCGGCCCGCGGGCCAGATCCGGCCCGCAAGTGGGTTAAATCCGGCCCGCGAGGTGGTTGTGTAAACTTTATTTTCATTATTTACAATGTAGAGTGAAAATAAACTTATCTTTGTGAGCAAGTTTTCTCTGTAATGAGTATAACTAAAACAAAGCTGCGCTCAAGGCTCACACAAGAACTTGAATCACATCCTGAAGTTGGCCGCCACTCAGGATGTGACTTCTGATATTGATGTGCTGGTGAAAGCTAAAAGATGTAAAGTAAAATGAGTCAAATATACTTTAAGTGCTGCATGAAACTGATCTAGCCATGTGTTCTGTAAGCTCTTTGAATCACTAAGGAATGTTTTTTTTCATTTGTTGATTTTTTAATTTTTTTCAAATTTTCAAGTACACTTCAGGTGTTGTACTTGTACTACACTGTCCCCAGGCTCCAGCCTTGTTTTATATTGATTGTATTAAAACAAAGAAAACAATCTGAAGTTTTTTTTTTTATCTACCGGTCCGGCCCACTTGGGACTAGATTTCCCTCAATGTGGCCCCTGAACTAAAATGAGTTTGACACCCCTGCTCTAAGAGCTTAATTCTGGAGGCAGAACTGACGTTTCCCATAAAAAGTTAGCTGCGTAAGGGAGCTAGCATTAGCTGCGCCCACCTTAAGGCCATTAAAACGCGCACAGAAGAAACAGCAAAGTATAAAAAGAGAGTAACAAAGCAAGAGCTGCTGTTACTGGCTGCAGCTTCCCTTATGCTCTCTGTAGCTGAACCTGATCTTTACTTTTGGACTTTAGAGTCCATCTTCACGGTAGCAACTCACCACTAAATAAAGCTACCTGAAATATAACAATCTACATCTGGTCTCCTCCCACTTCTCTGAGTTTACACCAGTACGTGTCCCCACTCCTCACCTCCTCCTCCTGCTCGCTGCAAATTAGGAGCAGAGCCAGGGCTCATCGAGGAGTTGACCAATCACGTGCGGCTTAAAGACAAAGAGAGAGAAAGGGGAAAAAGAAAAACAACCTCTGAGACTGAGCCGGCTCTGATTGGTCACTTCAAAGAGCCGTTTCATCCGTGAACGACACATCACTAACCCGTATGAAGAAAGTTCACTTTTGGCTATTTGGGGAAATGCAGACCTTGAGCACGCTACACAGCTAAAGGTGTGACAGTGATGCATGTCTGAAGTGCCCCCTAAGTTTCTGGACTAATCCTTGGCGGAGTCGCGTGCAGATCTGGGTTTGTTCTTGTTTCTAATGCAGATTGGACCTAATCAGGTGTTGATGGAGTCTTCCAGTTCTTACACAGTTTCTGCTTTAAATCACACGTTGTTTCATGAAGTTCAGAGCAGAGTCCTGCATGGGTCTATTTTTACAAACTTGACCCGAGACCCCGACATGGACACGGTGAAGTGCCTTTACCCGTTTTATTGCAGCTCTCTCCTCATCTGCCTCCAGCCGCCCTCAGGATGGGGAGGCCTGATTAGTGGTAGCACACAGGTGTGTGTTGTCACCTCCTGCTGCCTCTCATGGTCCTGTGCCACTGACACAATATTGAATATAAAATCTGAATATTTTTCTCTTGTATTTTTATGTAAATAAAAGGAGAAAATGAAACTTGTGGGATGAGGTTTTGATCTGACTTGTTCTGGAAATCGTGACCATAGCAGCTCAAGTCTGCTCCTCAGTGTGTGCAGACCCAGATCTGTGAAAAATAATTTATGCATTTTCCTGTTGCAGGACTCTGGTTCTGAGTCGATAGATGAATATTATTGTGTTCGGTTCGCCGTGCCTGCCTGCGTTAAGACCATCTCCTCTGCTCTAGCTCACAGAGGTGTGGTGCGAGGTGTTGCCACGGATACACTGAACCAGCTGACTCTCACCTGTGGCTCTGATTGGCTGCTAAAGTTCTGGCGCTTTAAGAAAAAGACTCTACAAGGAGAGCTGAAGCTGAACGCGGCACCAGCTAGCATGAGGCTTCACAGAGACAGGTAGGTGTTTACCTTAGATGAAGAAGAAACATGACCTGAAACAGCTGTTTAATCTGCTGTGTGTGTGTGTGTGTGTGTGTGTGTGTGTGTGTGTGTGTGTGTGTGTGTGTGTGTGTGTGTGTGTGTGTGTGTGTGTGTGTGTGTGTGTGTGTGTGTGTGTGTGTGTCATTAGCGGGATGCTCGCCATGGCACTGGATGACTTCACACTCATCGTGGTTGACATCGAAATGCGAAAAGTTGTCAGGAAGTTTGGAGGTCACCATGGCAACATAACCGACATGGTTTGTGGCACTAACTATGCTATCTAAAGGTGCTAGCTAACGATGCTAACAATATTATATGGCACCAGATGTTGTATTCATCTTTAGAACAGGGTTAATTGTAGAAGAAAGTAGTCTTAAGAGTAGGCTTAAAACATTTTTATTTGATAGGGCCTGTCAAGCACCTTGGGGGGTTCCATAACTCTAGAAGACGCTATATTAAATACAAGAGAAAATAAATAATCAAGCTCCATCATACATGAGTGACCTGATTGTTCCATATGTTCCTAACCGTGCACTTCGCTCTCAGACTGCAGGTTCACTGGTGGTTCCCATAATATCAAAAAATACGATGGGAGGCAGATCTTTTAGTTATCAGGCTCCTCTCTTGTGGAACCAGCTCCCAGCTTTAGTCCGTGAGGCAGACACTTTGTCTACTTTTAAGACTAGGCTTAAAATATTTTTATTTGATAGGGCATATGGTTAAAATCTGATGTTAGTCCAGATCTGGACAAGTGGGGGAGTAGAGGGAGGTGTAGTGTACAGTCGGTAAAGACGGCTCTCCCTTGCCCTACCTTCAACATGCCTCCATCTAAAAGGCTAGGCTATCCAGAGTTATCCCTGTAGTTATGCTGCAATAGGCTTAGACTGCTGGAGGACACACTGACCACTTTCCACACTCGACTACTTTCTTCTACAATCTGCTCTTTAACTGTATTATTTCCTGCTATTTCAGCTGTTAACTTTATTTTTTCTCTAAGTGTTTTTCTCCCCAGAAGAAGCTACAACGATGTTCTGCTGAGCTGTGGTGGCCTCATGGAGGGGGCCATCGGCTAACACACTGCTGCTAATCACTTAAACATTCTCCCTCTCCTGATAATAACTTTTTACTCTTTGACATTGAATGTGCTACTACTAGTTTACCCGTTTAATTATAGATTCACTAGGATAAATACAATAAAGTTTATCTCTCACCAAATAGAATATTTACTAAGAAATCACAATGTAACCATAGAAACACTACTTGGTTTGTGTGTGTGTGTGTGTGCGTGCACGTGCGTGTGTGTGTGTCTGCTCTGTCTTCTCCATCCCCAGTGAGTCGTGGAGGATGGCTGCTTATACTGAGCCAGGATCCTCTGGAGGTTTCTTCCTGTTAAAAGGGAGTTTTCCTCTCCACTATCGCTGCATGCTTGCTTAGTAGTCAGTGACTCGATGCAACCTGCTGGGTTCCTTATATAGGAAACTTTTTCATATTGGTTAAATGAACTGACCTGTATTGGGATGTTTATTATGTGAAGGTCCTTGAGACGGCTTTGGTCCTGATTTGGTGCTTTAGAAATAAATTGGACTGAATTGGAGAGGAGGGCTGTTCAGAGGTAGTTTCTTTTGGACAGCTACAGCTTATAAACTTGACCCTCCCATATTCCAGTCAGAATTGACAAAGCTCCTCAGATGAAAAACTCCAGCTCTGTGATTAAATGGCTGATGGATCTGTTGGTATCTAGATGGTACCTATCTAACCTTCTACACTGTAGTACGGCTGAATTGTGGTTAGCAACAGTAAACTCTGCTCTGATCAGTAACAGGAAGTACTAAAGTTTGTTGTCTTTGTGCGTCAGACCTTCAGCCCTGACAGCCGCTGGCTGGTCACCGTTGGGATGGACTGCACCATCCGTACCTGGGACCTCCCGTCTGGAAGGTGAGGGCATCAGGTTTGAGGGTGTTTGTGCAAACCAAACCCTCCTGTTTGTTGTTGCCACGCCCCCTGCTGGCAGCTTTGACAGTCGCCTGGTCTTTCTTTCCTCTTAGCCTGGTGGACTGCTTTCTGGTTGCCATGGCGCCTGTGGGCGTGTCTATGTCTCCGACCGGAGACTTCCTGGCAACGGCTCATGTGGACAGTCTTGGCGTTTACCTCTGGTTTGAGTCACTCCGTTATTGTTACCATGATCACATCGCTTAAGTCTCCCTGTATCGTCCAATTAAATTACATTTGTCCTTCTTCAGGGCCAATAGGAGTCTTTGTGGGCCTGTGGGGCTCCACCCCCTTCCATCTGACTACCAGCCAGCAGAGGAGATGCTGCCAGGTGTCTCCACAGAAGAAACATTGCAGGACATTTCTTTAGAAGATGCTGATGATGTGTATCAGTCAGCTGCACAGCTGGGGGCGGAGCTTGTGACACTGTCCCTGCTGCCAGAGTCCCGCTGGAAAAGTCTACTACACCTGGACACCATCAAGGTGAGCTGAATTACAGCTGGCAGGCCAAGCAAGCAGGTGGGTGTTTTTCTTACCTGTTGTTGTTTTAATTTACAGAAGAGGAACAAACCTACAGCGCCCCCTGTGGCTCCGCCCACTGCCCCCTTCTTCCTGCCAACAGTTCCTGGTCTCACACCTAGATTTGAGTTACCTCTAGGAACCACGCATGATGCACAGGTAGATAGCTCAGGCTCCACCCCTGCAATACACTGTCATTGCTCTGGGTCATGTGACTGACTTCTAAATAAGGTTCTCACTTCCTGTGTGTAAGTCAAAGGTCCTGCCCTGGGGTTCTTTGGCTCAGAGGTCTGAGTTCATTTCATCTCTAGAGTCCGCTCTGCATTCCGGGTCATGTGAGTACACACCTGGCCTTCAAAGTAAAAGCCTTACCTCACAGCAGTGTTTACTGGAGACCAGCTGAACCAGCTGTCCTTGTTTATTAAATCAGTGTGTTTGGAATCGTTCTGCCAAGAAGAGTCGACTAGTCACGCCTACGCTGCTCATCAAACCGGCATCAATGTTCATTTCTGAAGCTTTGTTTTGTCTCATAAGTGCTGCTGTAACCTCTGCTGTGTGTGTGTGTGAGTGTGTGTGAGAGAGAGACTGAAAATTGTTTTAAAACATTTGACATCACCAACAGTTGATGTGCCGCTGCACCTCCTGAGAGACTGTGGGCCGTCAGCGCTGTCTGTGGAACTTGCCTCTCTGACATCAGAAGGAGGCGGGGCTAGCAGCCTCTTGGTTGGCTTCATTAGAATGATTGACAGCATGCTGGCGACTGGACGAGACTTTGACCTGAGTCATGCCTACTTGGCTCTTTTCCTGAAAGTGAGCCATTCAAAGAACTTCTCTGGTCTTTTATTGTGAAAAGGTTCCAGTTTTTTGTTTACTGTAATATTTTGTTTTTTCAGCTCCATCTGCGCACTCTTTCTCAGGATGCTGTTGCCATGGCAGCGTTGCTCCAGCTCTCATCCAGGCTGGAGGCTGGATGGGCAGAGCTTAGATCATCATTCAACCAGTCATTGTGTTTGCTGTCATTCACAAAGAGTGCAATGCTGTGACACACACACACACGCTTACGTGCACACACATATGTGCAGAGTCAGATTGTGTTTTAATAAAGTTTCTGGTTTTTGAATAGAGCTTCAGAGTTGCTTTGTTTGCAGAAGATGAACTGATTGATCAGTAATTGATGTGGGGTTGGGCAGAAGTAACTGGGTACAAGTACTCGAGTAGTTAAACAATGTATGGCAAGGTGGAGATATGAGGACCCCAGTGGGATTCGATCTCCAGACTCCCAGGTGAGAGTCACGTGTGCTAACCAGTCAGCCAAAGAGGCATCTCATTGGCCACGCAGCCAGTAGACAGGACACTCACCCTGTCACAGTACCATATCTGGTGTTCTGTGCAGTTTAGTTAAATTTATCCTGAATTATTCATTCATTTATTGGTTAAATAGCCCTTTAAAACAGTCAACTAGACAGCCAAAGTACCTAACAGATGACAAAAAAAAACCGAAAATCAAAAGTAAACATTAAAAACACACAAATCAGATGAGAAAGCCAGATGGGATCGAATCAGAAGTCCCCGTTGCTGTGCACTAAAAGCTTTTCTGAATTAAAAGGTTTTAAGTTTAGATTTAAAAGGCCAGGGTCAGAGATGGAGCATAAGTCCAGAGGGAGCTGCTTCACAGAAATTCCAGTCGCCCCAGTGTTTATTTCTTGTTTTTGGAAGAGCAACTGGGATGAAGACCGTAGGGCTCTACTGCTGGTGCTGAAGCTCAGGCCTGAAGTGCAGGATGAGGCCAGAGCATTAAAGACGAACAATGCCACTGCCAATAAAACTGAAAAGGACCGGTCCGTCAGGTAGGACTTGACCCAGTTAAGTGCTGTGCCACAAATACCAACATCATGGTTTAAACGGGAAGAAGGACGGCATGATCCACAGTATCAACGCTGCCGAGAGATCCAGTAAGGAGTACAACAGGACACTTACTATCAGCAGACAGCAATGTCAGTAGGAAGTAGAGCCGTCTGCACTACGTCGCTGTCTGAAGACCGACTGGAATTTTTCCAAAATAGAAATGTTCTCCAAAAGCCAACAGCTGAGTGTACATTTTTTCAAGAACCTTTGAAAGGAAGGGCAGATGAGAGATGGGTCTAAATTAGCTGAAACCATGGGGTCCAAGTTGGCTTTTTTAAGAAGGGGCCTCACAACGACGTGTTTATAGCTCTTTTCCATCGCCTGGTCTGGAACGATTGGGTCTGGGTATTATGGACCGGTATGTTCCGGTGTCGATACAGGATCGGCTCGGGGTCCTTCGACTGCTGATGACATCAAAGTAGTTGATTGGCTGAACATGAAGCTTACGGAAGTTACATTATCACGTTATGATTTTGGTCAGAACAACTTTGCGGTCATAGTCTTAGCAGTTGTAGTCCTGTAGTCCAAAAATCAACACTTTTTGTAGAAAATATGTTTGAATTTCTAAAGGAAATGTAAAATATAAGCAAATGATAAACGGTGACCCTCAAAAGCTCTTGATGTTGATGAAATGGGGCAAAATAAAATACAAGAACTTTATTGAAAGACACCAAGCAATATTTTGAGTCAAACAATGTATTTAGATAACAACTAAGGAAATAGACAGACGAACTCCACATGAATACAAACAGATGTGGCTTCACATATAAGAACTGCTCTATTTTTTGTCCGTCCGATGTTGGTTTTATGCAGTTTCACATTCTTTACAAAACAAAGATAATATGGTGTTTTATTAACAAATTACAATTATAAAGAAAACATTTAGGTGTTAACAAACAAGAATTTATTAACAAAACTGCTGATGCCTTTCCAAAACGTGTGTGTGAAAGCCGAGTAGATTAGCAGTAATGTGACGTCATCGGGGGTCGAAGGACCCCGAGCCGATCCTGTACCGACACCGGTATGGGCCGCACAGTTAGTAACTTTTTTAAAAAGTAAAGCAACCGGAAGGCAGTACGTTTCTTTATTCTGAAAATCTCGGAAAGCTTTGCTCCGTTTCAGCGTCCGATTTCCTATCTTTCCTTCCCCAAAAATGTCGCACTTGACCCGTTTCAGAGGCGTAGCGCGTAGAAAATAGAACCGGCGCGTATGGGCCGCGGCATGCTGCTCCTGAGACGCGGCCGACTCGCGCTGCTGACGGCTGCTGAAGGCTCCGGTGGAAAGAAGGGGTAAGCGTGAGGAGATGAAGGTGTGGATAACTTTCTCAAGTTCAGAGCAGGACAGAATGGGGCTCAGCTTAGCAACGTTCCTGAGATGGAAGAAGGAAGAGCCAACAAGAGAACTGACATGAGAATCCAGTGTGAGAGCTGGGTCAAAGGTCACGCCAAGATTCCTGACAGAAGGTTTGGTGTGAGAAGCAAGCTGACCAAGAGAGTCTCTGACTTTGGGAACCAGCTTGTCTGGGGCACAGATGAGGATCTCAGTCTTATCTTCATTCAGCTGAAGAAAGCTCCCACCATCCAGGTTTTGATAGAGTCTAAGCAGGTGTGTAACAGCTGCAGCTTAGACATCTCATGGGGCTTAAAGGAGATGTACAGTTGGAAGTCATCTGCATAAAGATGGTAGGAGATTCCTTTGAAGGAGCTCAGGATGTGCTGAAGAGGAAGCAGACAGAGGAGGAAGAGCAGAGGCCCCAGCACAGAACCTTGTGGGACACCATGGGTAAGAGAGGTGGTTGGAGACAGCTTGGAGACGGCCACAGAAAAGGAGCACTCAGAAAGATAAGAGGAGAACCACTTCAGAGCGGGCCAGTTTCAAATTCCTCTCTTTATTTCCTTCTGCTGAATGTGAAAGAACCCTTTGTGTGACAATGTTATTGTTCTTTTCCGTGTAAACCCATACAAAGTTAACCTGAGGATATGAAATGTGAATTTCCGCTTCATTTGAGCTTTTTATAACTGAGTTCTCGAGACATGAAAGTTGCCCCTTTAAAAAAGAAGGTAATTAGGCACAGGAAGTTGGCTCCCTGGTTTAATTCTCATTTACAAACTTTAAAACAAAACTAGAAAATTGGAGAGAACATGGCGCTATACATACCAGGAGGAGTGCTACTTTTCCTGGAAAAATAGTCTTGTGCTTTATAAATATAAGCTTCGACAAACTACAACTGCTTTTTTCTCAGCGTTAATTGAGGAGAATAAGAATAACATTCTCTGGCGCTCACAGGGAGCAGACGCTTCTGCCTTTCCTCCCTTATCTGTGTTTTCCCAAGGCTCTTTTTGTCCCGTCTGCCTACAGAGCGCTTCTCTGCATTTCCTCTGCAATCACCTTTTTATTTTTCAATATGGACTTAATTAATTGGTCATTCAACGCGATTGATAAGATTTTTTCTACAATGAGGACGGAGGAGGGGGCTCACGCTTGTCCTCAGGGGACACATGCAGCGGGATACATGTTCGATTCCTGGAAAAAGTGGAATGTCATCTTTCTCTCTCAGCTGTCCATTGAGGACGGCGAAGATATGTGGATATTTGGCCTGATGATCGTTGGATTTCTTCTGATTGGAGTGGGAGGATATCTGGCTTTCCGTAAAATTGGGATGACGGGAGCGATTGGAGGGCGACCCGCATCCATGGACGGCACCGTCCGGGTGGATACCTCACAGACTGGGACGTTGCTCGAGGTGAATCGCAAGCTGGACAATGTCTTGGCTGCGTTACCGGTGTTAGCGCGCAGGATTGATAACATCTCGGAAAGGGTCACCGGACGGTGTGGAGATGTTTAATCACTGAATTGGCTTCACTGGAGGACTTGAATGATCAATACAGACTTAAGGCAGAGAGGAAAAATTATCTCTGTCTGACCCAAAACAAAGTTCTGTTATCGAATCTGACGCCATAAGCAGCCTTGGAGTTGCATGCAAAACCCCCACGCTGGAAGGAATGCAGACAAATGCTGTGAATCTCTATCCACCCCCCCCCCCCCCCCACCCCCGCCTTCAGATTGTGCTCTCTACCGAGGTCATGAAGCTGAAGGACTCACTGCTCTCTGTGCTTCCCCTGACCTCCCTCCCACCTGCGGAGCCAGCTGGTGAGCGCCACACAGGCCGCCCCCGCTGATGAAACCAGGATCCCAGCCCCACCCCCCTACCTACCGGGTCTCATGTTGTGAACTGTGACATTTGTTGCTTACATGTCGGGTGTTTTTTTGCATTGGAGCGCTACACCCTGCTGGTGTAACCCTGTTAATGCCTTTTTTCTCCCTCCCTGAACTTTCCTCATGTATTCCCTTACTCATCTACAAAGGAGCGCCGTTATGGCTGCTCTCATGGTCTGCCTGTATCTGTCTTGTCTATATGTGTGTGTGTGTGTAACCTTGGTCAGGTTGTACTGTGGAGTCAAGTTCCTACGCTCTGAAAGGAGCGCTGGCAATAAAATTCTTCTGATTCTGATTCTGATAATCTAAATTTTCTTTTCAGTACAGTTGCCAAACTTACACAGAATCATAGCTCTGAACCATCTATTCCCTTAGCCCTCAGCAGCAATGACTTTATGGAATTTTTCACAAGTAAAATTAATTCTATTAGAAACAAAATCTTTAGTATCCTCCCTAATGCGATTTCTTCTTCCCCAGTAAGTAAGGCAGCAGCAGAGGTAACTGTAGAACCTCATCTGTGTTTGAACCATTTAGATCCAGTTGAGCTTTCAGAGTTATCAAAAATATTAGCTTCATCTAAACCTTCAACTTGCATTTTAGATCCAATCCCAACCAAATTATTTAAAGATAATCAATCTATCCTTAGTAAATGGATGTGTACCACAGGATTTGAAGATTGCTGTAATCAAACCTTCACTTAAGAAACCTTCTCTGGATCCAGATGACCCAATGAATTATAGACCAATATCTAACCTTCCATTTTTATCCAAAGTCCTGGAGAAAATAATGGCCATCCAAGTATGTCAGCATTTAAACACGAATGCTCTGTTTGAGGAATTTCAGTCTGGTTTTAGAGAGTATCACAGCACTGAAACTGCATTAGTGAGAGTTACAAATGATATTCTCATGGCCTCAGATAAGAATCTTGTGTCTGTTCTAGTCTTGTTGATCTCAGTGCTGCCTTTGACACAGTAGATCACAATGTTCTTGTAGAAAGACTTGAACATGTTGTAGGGATCAAAGGAACAGCGCTAGGCTGGTTTAAATCCTACCAGTCTGACAGATTTCATTTTGTAAATGTACATGACAAATCTTCTTCTTACTCCAGGGTTACTTGTGGAGTACCACAGGGTTCAGTGCTTGGACCAATTCTTTTTACTATATATATGCTCCCAATTGGTAAAATCATTAGACAGCATGGGATAAACTTCCACTGTTATGCTGACGATACAGTTATATCTATCCATTAACCCTGATGAACCTAATCGGTTGGGTAGATTACAGGCTTGTCTTGAGGACATAAAACATTGGATGACTCAAAACTTTTTGCTTTTAAATCAAGACAAGACGGAAGTTCTCATCTTCGAACCTGAAATTCAGAAAAGGAAATTGCTTAGTCAATCACCTGACCTGAACAGCATGAAATTAGTCTCAGAGAATAATACAATAAATACATATTTTTTGTATAAAAAATAAAATAATAAAATCCCATTAGGTGTCACACACACTGATGTGTGTGTGTGTGGGTACCCTGTCTATTTAGATGGAGTCCTTCAGGCCCAAACAGATGCTTCCTGCCCCAAAAAATGTAAAAAAAAAATGTTAAAATTGTCAATAAAAGCCTGGACACACACACGCAGCTCAATAAAGGGGGTAAACCAACACACCTTAATGCTAAGATTTAGCACTAACAGGAAGTGACGTTGCTGATTGCTGACTATGCCAAACTAAAACGGGAAGCAAAACAAAGCGCAGCGCAGTCGCAGTAGAGTGGTGTACTAATGTCCAGCGGCAACAAACGACTTGAAACTTTGTTTTCTTGCTGTTTTCTTGCATTCTCGGAATTGTTTTGTTGGTTTACTTCACTTTTGTTGCTTTCCCGGTAAACTGAAGCCGCAGCTGAGACGTACTGCCACAGGTCCGAACTGGAAGTGAGGAAGAGAAGTTCGGACCGGTTCAGGTAAAGTTCTGGCCCGCTTAAGTTTGGAGTCGTCTCAACTCAAAATTCGCTTATCGAACAAAAACAATTGAGAAGCAGCTAGTCCCTGTAGGCCTGGAGCCATGCTAGTCCAAGGCGTTCAAATGAAGACGACCTTCTATAAGTTACAAAAGTATACAAAAATACTTCAAAAATTATTAAAATATGTTTAAAATGAGAAGAAATACAACTTGTGATTACAAATTTAAGGAAAGGGAGAGAGAGAAATAATAGGAAAGAGGGGAGGTGGAGAAGGTCCCACCAAACCTGAACTGGTGAGTTTTTTTAAAGGAGACCACTGAGTCCACTGATCTCAGGCTCAGGTAGAGGTCCAGAGTCTGGGGGCCACAGCAGCTGCTGCAGCTTTGTTCTTGATGGATAAGTTAGTAATAAATGTGAAGTTTAAACATGAGCTGTAACTGGATTTACATCTTTGTTGTATTTAATGTTCATTTGCAGCGTCTGATTCCACTGATGTCAGCATTATTAATAATTATATATCAGCTTTAGTCTGGGATGGACCCATATCATTAACACGCTGTCCTCTTTATGTTAAATAGCCTTAGACTAGCTTACAGCTGCTAACATAACACATGTAAGCTACTTTACTGGTGTGACTATATATGTACTGTGGTCACACGTGTCAAATGTCTGATTTTAATGACCTATGTGATGTTTTACCCTCAGCGTGTAATATGAGAGCTAAACGGTTTCCAGCGCTAACTTTAGGGTCACATGACCACAAACGTATATTCTTAAAGCTCACAGCTGCTCAGCAGAAATAACGTCCTGCAGCAGAAACCTCCAGACTCTGGAGCAGAACATAAAAACCACATAAATGATGAAACTTTAACAAAGCAGGTGGAGAAACGAGCTGAAGTAGACTTCTGGCGTCGCCATGGAGACATGTAAATTCTGCAAGCTCTGATTAAACAGCTCCAGCTGCACAGCTTTAATCAAACAGCTGATGGTCTCTGTTTTAGTTCTGATATCTTTGTGGTCCTCGTAGGCATGAATGAATAATTATTTCTCTGGATCATCATTTATCTAGCATCGATTAACAGGGTCTGCTTACATGCGTGTTAGCCTTGATTGGAATAGAGTTACCACCAAGCATCGTTGGAGGTACCGTAGCAGGCACACTTTTATCAGGATAGCCCTGATGTTCTGAGCCCACTTAGAGAAATATCCCCTGGTCCCCGTAGACCTGGCCCTAATTTATCATCCTCGGTCATCTGGCCTCTCGTACACACCTTCCTCCACACTCGTCTGATGATAAATGCCACCTGTAATCTTTACCACTCTCTTTATTCTGCTCTCCCCACCTGTTCCACCTTCCTCAGGATCCACTGATTTCCCTCTTTCCTACTCACTTTCTCTCTTTCTTTAAATTTTTTAATCACAATTGCCTATTTTTTGCTCATTTTAAATATATTTTTAACCATTTTCTAAATTGTTTTGCACCTGTTCTAGTTATCGGGTACATAACTGTTACACCTGTTCTAGTTATCAGGTACATAACACCTGTTACACCTGTTCTAGTTATCGGGTACATAACACCTGTTACTCCTGTTCTAGTTATCGTGTACATAACAGCAGTTACACCTGTTCTAGTTATCGGGTACATAACTGTTACACCTGTTCTAGTTATCAGGTACATAACACCTGTTACACCTGTTCTAGTTATCGGGTACATAACACCTGTTACTCCTGTTCTAGTTATCGTGTACATAACAGCAGTTACACCTGTTCTAGTTATCGGGTACATAACTGTTACACCTGTTCTAGTTATCGGGTACATAACTGTTACACCTGTTCTAGTTATTAGGTACATAACACCTGTTACACCTGTTCTAGTTGTCGGGTACGTAAAACCTGTTACACCTGTTATAGTTATCGAGTACATAACAACAGTTACACCTGTGTTTTACCAAACAAACCTCAGAAACACTCCTCCTTCAGATAAAAGTTGCTGATTTAGTGGATAAGAAAATCTCTATGTGTCATGACATTTAACTGTAGCCTTGTATTAGGAAGATATGCACGTGTGTGTGAGTGTAGATCATGATTACCTTGTCATATCAAACATTACTGATCATAACCTATAAGTCTTTCATTGTAATAATAATATTCATTTCAACTTCATTGATTTAGGCACAGATTAATCAAAACATTATTGCTTTGGTTCTTTTTTTGTACCTTTGACTATATGGTGAAGGTCTAAAATGTTGTAGTATTTTTATTAGTATTACTTCAAGCCACACCTTCTTTTGTTGATTGCTCCTATATTTCTGAATTAGTCTTGCAGGAAAACGTGAAGAAATAGAAGAATTTTTCAATGACCTTTTTATTGTTTTTGAGTGTAGTGCATTAAAATTCTGCCTTCTGTCCATGCCTCAAGGCAGCTGTGGCTATGATGCAGCTCATCAACACCAGTGTGTGAATGGGTGAATGAGTCACTGTAGTTTTAAACATTTTGGAGACCTCTGACTCAAATAGGTGCTACACAGGTGCAGATCATTTATCATCCACGTGGAGCAGGACTGGGTGCTGTGGTTTAGCATAATCGATAATGGTAATGAAGACATCAAATAACACTTGATTTGGTTTGCTTGTTGTCATAGTGATGAAGAGGGGGCGGGTTCTAGCTGTGCTTGTGGGTGGTCTCTTCTGCTTTGCTGTGATGTCACTGTACCGTATGCTGGAGCTGATGCAGAGGGCGGAGCCTGAGCAACATAGGGGCACACCTTATGGACAGGTGGATGAAGTATGTAACTACAAACCTAAACTTCCTGTTTCAAAGTAAAAGGTTATCTAATGCAAGTTTCAACTTCTTGTTTGTTAAATTTCACTTCATAGCTGTATCTGTAGCATGCACACTCATAACGTTACAACCAAACTGAACCTTTAATGAATGTTTTTAATAAAAATGAAATGTATATTATTTGAAACATTAACAATTCAGCGGTGTGTGTTCAGGATCTGTCCCAGCTTCAACAGAAGATTGACAGGTTGGAGCATCTTCTGGTGGACAACAATCACCTGGTTGCTCAGCTGCGTGACTCGCTGCTGCATAAAAGCTCCAACAGTAGCTTAGACTCCTCCCACAGACGAGTAGAACTGCTTCCTGGCTGCCGAATAGCTGAGGACATGAAGGGAAGTGCTGACGGAGTTCAGGTGAGGTTCCTACTGGGTTTGGAATATTTTAATATTGAGTGATTTTTGGGTTGTGCAATAGTGCTGCCATGCAGGAAGAAGTTTGTAGGTTTGAATCCCAGCCAGGGATCATCTGTATAACACACATAAATCACACACACATTCTATAAATGACTGATTAAAGCCACGATTACCTTCTATAAAGGGTTTGAACCCCTGAAATATCTGAGTGAAATAAATTCAGTCTACTACTGATTTGCAACATTGATGTTTCATCTCCACAAATACCCCAAGCTTGGAGGAGTTCTGCTGTGTGTTGGAGTTGCTAATGCTAACAGTTAACTTCTACTAGCAGAGACCTTCTCAGCTGTTTTCTGTTCAGAGAGTCAAAATGGCCTAACATCTATTAACATGACACCGAGGCCCAAGCTGAGGCCTTTCCCCAGAGCTAGCTCTGAAGTCACATGGATGCTCTTTAATTATTCAAATCTTCTTAAACAGAAGAGTTTCAAATAAATCCACCCCTCAGAGTTGTCATGACTGTAAACTAGATCTACTAAACCTAGAATATGTTTCTGAACCAGGCTGTAAACATGTTTATTTCTGCTGTTTAGTTGGCTTTTTTAACATGGGAGTCAATGAGGATTTACTCACTTCTGACACCAGCCCCTAGTGGATGGGGGTGGAACTGCAAGTTTGCCACTTCCTTGCTTGCTTCATATCCAGAACCGAATTATGGGGCTTGGTTCAACGAGGCAGAGAACACAAGCTGTGATTGGTCAGGATGCTGCTTTTGTCAACAGCACTGCTATTGTGCCCTCAAAATATTAAGAGAGCCAGATATATCTAGTGACAGACAAGGAGCAGCTTGAAGAACACCTCACGGAAAAACTCTTAACAACATGATTGCTTTATTCACCCGTGACTGGAGGAGTTAAAAGATACGCAGCAAGCATTTTATTCGCGGATGGAAACAACGGTAAACCACACCGCCTGCACCAACCACTGACTAAACTCGATGGTGGTGTTTGGAGGGGGCGAGCGCATGAAGAGGTGGAGGAGAATGAGGGACAAATTAGTCTGCGCTGGAAAGTCTCTAAAATACAGAAAACACAATATAAACACAATAGTAAATGCACTATCTTGGACCGGATACATGACAGGATACCCCAGAACAGCTCTACGCCTTCTGTTGACCTGCAGGGATTGCTTTTCAACACTCCGCAGGAGACGGAGAAGTCTGAAGTTTCCTATACAAGGAACCCAGCAGGTTGCATCGAGTCACTGACTAGTGTCAGAGTCTTTACAGCAATCCTCATACTAAACAAACAAAACTGAGGTAATAATGAAGGGGTGCTTGAGCACCTGACCCTTTTGTCTGAAGTTCCCAAAGTGTCCTTTTTCCGGTCTTCTGTGTAGCAATTAACTACCTTCTGACCTTCCGTGATGCTACATCTGTCAGATTTTACTGTTCAAAACTGTCATACTTTGATACAGGCCAGGCACTAGGACCATGCGGAGGCAGCTCCCTCAAGCTGAAGCCTATTTTCCTTTAGACCCACCCACAATCTCACTGATTGGCTCTGGCATGTCATGCTAATGTGTGATTGATTGTCACTGCTGTCGCTGTAACTCGCAGCCATGGAGACGACAGACTGGTGTTTTGCCTTTCGGCAGCAGTCTGCGTTCATCTAGCTAATGCGTGCTTTTATAACCAGTAGAATTGATTACTGCAATGCCCTTGCTTTCTGGTCTTCCCAAAAAGAGCATCTCAGGTCTACAACTTTTACAAAACTCATCAGCACGTGTCCTGATGAAGACCAGGAAGCGGGAGCACATCACTCCGGTTTTAAAATCACTGCACTGGCTCCCCGTATGTTTCAGGATCGATTTTAAGGTTCTTTTAATGGTTTTTAAGTGTCTTAATGGTCTTGGGCCTTCTTATCTTTCAGAAATGCTTTTACAAAATAAACCCTCGCGGTCTCTGCGCTCCTCTGGCAGCCGTCTCCTAGTTATCCCTAAAGTTAAGACTCACACCCACGGCGAGGCGTCCTTCAAGTACTACGGCCCTCGCCTTTGGAACGGGCTGCCGGAGGACCTCAGGTCCGAAGGGAACGTCCAGGCTTTTAAGAATAAGCTCAAGACCCACCTTTTTAGCTTAGCTTTTAAATGATTACTATTTATCTAGTCTGTTTAACTGAATCGTCTGTCATATTTGTTTATTTATATATATCTATATCTATATATATATATATCTTTTAATTAATTTGATCATTTTATCTACATCTTAGTGTTTTTACATGATTATGTTTTCTTTTACTATCTTTATAATCACTTTTTATCAGTTACTTTTTATCCATATTAGCTTTTGTTATTTTACAGTTATATATTTTAATCCTCCAGTGTTTCCTCTGCGGAGCCCTCTGCCTTGGGGCCGGTGGTCGGCAGCGGCAGCGGCCGGGGCGCTCCTCGGGTAGTGCCCGGGCACTGGTGGGGGGTTTCTGCCCTCCCCCACTGGGCGTCATGGGCCGGTGTCTAGGCTGCTGCCGTGGATCTGTTGCTGCCAGGGCAGATGGCTCCGCTGATGATGTGTCGTTCATTACCTGACCCATCTGAACTCAGCCTATTGTTTCCTCTGTTGTTCACGTGTGTGTGTGTGTGTGTGTGTGTGTGTGTGTGTGTGTGTGTGTGTGTGTGTGTGTGTGTCACAGTCAGGTAGCAGCATGTCTGAGACAGAAGTGGACACGAGAGAGACTTCTGATGTGAAGTTAGAGAAACACACAACAAAGAATCACAGATGATGTTTCTCACTCTAGAATCTCTGTGTCATAACTTCTGAATGCCTGATCCAATTAAAATATTTCCAATGGTTTCTAAAAGGACATAAAACAAGCTTCCCAACGAGGTATTTCATGATGTAAATCATATTTCTCCAAATATCGCTATTAGCAGTGTGTGATTTGTGAAAAAAGCATGAGGGGGGGGTGGTGGTGGTGGTATTGGGGGGGGGGGGGGTAGTTTTTTCACTTTAAATTTATGAAAACTATAACATGTATAAACTACAACATGTATAAACTGCAACGCGCATAAACTACAACGCGTATAAAACTACAACGCGTATAAAACTACAACGCGTATAAAACTACAACGTGTATAAAATTACAGCACGTATAAAACTACAACACGATAAAACCACAACACGTATAAAACCACAACACGTATAAAACCACAACACGTATAAAACCACAACGCGTATAAAACCACAACGTGTATAAAATTACAGCACGTATAAAACTACAACACGATAAAACCACAACGCGTATAAAACCACAACGCGTATAAAACCACAACACGTATAAAACCACAACGCGTATAAAACCACAACGTGTATAAAACTACAGCACGTATAAAACTACAACACGATAAAACCACAACACGTATAAAACCACAACACGTATAAAACCACAACACGTATAAAACCACAACGCGTATAAAACCACAACGTGTATAAAACTACAGCACGTATAAAACTACAACACGATAAAACCACAACGCGTATAAAACCACAACGCGTATAAACTACAACGCGTATAAACGACAACGCTTATAAAACGACAACACGTATAAAACTACAGCACGTACAAAACTACAACATGTATAAACTACAACATGCTTTTGTATGCTGACTGCAGGGTATTTTGTACCAAGGTTTCCCCTTTTGACCGACAGGAAAAACGCAAAAAAGGAAAGTTATGCTGACATCTTTATTCATCTCTGTGTACGAGTGGCTCGGTGGCAAAAACAAACAATATGGCTGCTATCAAAATGCCACATACACTTGTAAGGAAGTTTACGTACAAAATCCCTGATATATAAAAACTTTACCATTGTAGCGTTTACAAATTGATGATTTTAATCTGTTATGACCACGAAGATGTAATATTCTATATAAATATAAAATGTTAACCTGCGAGGTCTTTATGGCAATTAATCAGGAGACTCTAGGATTTAATGCAGAAGATCTAGGTTCTTTCCTTTTTCAGTGATCAACCACGCTTCGTGTTACTTCAAGAAAGAGTCAGGTTTATAAAAGCAAGAATTTATTTTACAATCCATTTAAAACATGACTACTGAATTAAACATTTAAGGTGAATGAGTGGAACTAAGATGCTGAAGTAACCAAGGCGTAGATGCTTGTATCTCAGGGATTCTCTTAAAGAGCAAGTCACCCCTAAATCAACTTTTTTTTTGCTGATAAACCAAATAAATGAGTGTCTAATTGTGCTGCAGACACGTGCAGTCAATAATTTGGCATTTCAGTGCATCTTAGTTAAAATTTAAATATTCTGCCTAAAACTGTCAGTGTTGTACTGTTGTCAGGTAAAAACTATGCACTGTATTTGAATTTAAATCTGCCACTGCTATTGGCTAAGAGGTATGCTATGATGTAAACTGGTACATTATCAGGGTATCTGCGGGTCCTTAAAAAGTCTTAAAAAGTCTTAAATTGGCTTTTCCAAATTTAAGGCCTTAAAAATCCTTAAAAATGACAAATAATCCTTAAATACAGTTTCCAAAGGTCTTAAATGACCAAAGACCCAATAAACAAGATTATTTTATTACTATAAAATTTTCGTGAATTTCTAGTTAGTGTTCAGCTTCTTTTTTGTGTACGATGTTGGCGTAAGCGGAACCATACACATTCAGTTGGTTGTGAAAGGGGGCTATTTTTAGATGAGCACATTAGCTGGTTAAGCTAGTGGGAGCTTGCGCCATGGGGAAGGGCAAGTTTAATGGCTACTGGATGGCTAATCCCACGTTCGCGACGTGGTTAGCACCGGTTCCAGGCAATAGCTGGAAATTATAGTTTAAATTTGGTCAAAGTGGCCTTAAAAAGGTCTTAAAAATTCTTAAATTTGGCTCCCTTAAACCTGCAGATACCCTGATTATGATGTCACCATGCTGTCGTGAGTCTCTGTGTGTGTGTGTGTATTTGTTAGGGGCTCCGCCCTCTCGGTCTG